GCCAAGGGAAAAGGCCAGAGGCCAGGTGTGCGCTTCGAGAGGCTTCTCTCGCTTGGAGTCACAGGATGATTCCCCCAGGAAGGAGTAGTGACAATGTGATTAAAATGGGTGTCAACTTGGGAAGCACATTAGATATGCAGCGCCAAGGATGTTTATTGGGGACCGTTCACACAGGCAGCATCTGCCTGCCATGCCCTAGTATCTCAGGGAAAACAGGCGTTCCGCACAAACCATATTTGTATAATCAATTTAGACACATGAACCACTCTTATCATTTCTAGGAGTGGTGGAAGCCCCTCCCAAATTCAACCTCCCAGTTCCCAGGCCAGGGCCAGGGCCAGCCAACCTTTAGGCAGGATTTCAAAGGGTCGCAGCCAGGGCAGCTCTGTGGACTCTTTTCTGCACAGGCACACACACACACACACACCACCCCCCACCACCCCCACCTCAGCAGTCCCTCTTATTTTGCATTCTTGAAAATAGGGCCAGTTTGTATATGTAGCGTGGACATAGCCTAATGTCACCTTTGTCAAACTTTTAATCTCTGCTTCAATTTAACGTTCAATAAATTGGATCCTTTCATATTTCCATTGTTTATAAAATTACAATTCCCCCCCAAAAATTACAATTCCACCTCTCCAGCATCTTCTCCACATACCTCTCTTCTGAGTCAGAGTGTGCTAGCCATCCTGGACTTCCTTGAATTCCCAAGAATATCATTATTTTTCTTGCTTTAATGCTTCTGAGTAGACCCTTAGAGAGGGGAGGGAAAGAAAGGTGAAGAGAAGGCACTGCAAAGGTGGGGCTTGGTTTTTGTAATAAAAATGGGAACGCGAAGAAGGGTTTCTACATGAAGGTGTAACGGTCAGATTCCTGTGACTTGAAAGATCAAGCTGACCCTGCATGGAGACTGAGGGGCGGACAAGAACGAATGTAGATGTTAGGGGATAAGGCTATTGCTATGCTCCCCGTAAACATGGATTTTTATCGGAGACATAAAAATCATCAGCACTTGGTCATGGATTAGACCAAGTGAGGGAGGGCTCGGTGGTTATCACAGCAATGTCCTGGGTAAGTTTCCGAGGTGTGTAAGTAGTTAAATGACAGTGCCATTCACGCCAGGAGATGAGAGCAAGGTCGTGTGTGCAGTGTGATGTCAAAGGTTTAGTTTAAGATATCTTGAGTTTACCGTAGCTTTGAGACCAGCACTGAATCTCAGTGCTTTTAGAATGAAGATCCAAATCCTTGACTTTTAAGGCTGTCCCCTTAAAAGTCTGTCTGTCTGTCTGTCTGTCTGCATCCTCATTTGGTCCCATGCTCCTCGCTATCCTCCCTCCATAGTCACCTTCTTCAGTCCCTCTCACGCTCCTCGTGAGCACCTGTTGCATGTTCTCCCTGGACTCTCCTTCAGCACCCTCTTCACCTAGTCAGTGCTTTGTCATGGATCCCCCACAGTCATCGAGTCTTCAAGGGAGGGGTTGGGGCTCATTGATCAGAAGGAGAGTCACAAAAGCATTGGAAGAAGAAAATGTCATGGGTTGGTTAGTAGTTAATAGGATATGTTGAGTCAGGATATTGGGGAATATTGTACAAATTAAGGAAGAGGAGACTGTGGTGTTTACTCGTTGAGACTTAACTGTGAGTTCTAATAACAGAATTCAACCAATTGGAACAATGTGAAGTATCAGATTAAGATGGAACTAACCCGTTTGCGCTCGGCCACTCTGATATGGGGTTCTTGACTTGTGTTAACTATTATGGAAAATCCACATGCAAATATGTAAATAATTAGGGGTAGAGCTTCATGTGATCTAGCTAGCTGCACTTTGGTGAGAGGTGACAGGAGATGGGAGAAGAGGATCATATAATGTATAATGGCAAAAATCCCAAGTGGATGGGCTTTTATGATCCATAAAAGGAATTGGTCTAAGCCTGTAAACAGTGTTACCCAGTTATAGCTCTGTGCCCCTGTAATCAATCACTCTTGCTGATACAGTTTCAGTCATTATAAGCAGAATCTTATGGATTTAGCTGTTCTAGATGGAATCGAATCACCTTTCTGTGACATTATTTGATGCTTGTCTGCCTTCACTAGAGAAGACTGGGGCCTTTAAAACCTATCATACATACTAGCTTGTACTGCTTGTTACTGTTTGAAACCTCACTTTATAACTAATTCAAACTCATTATACATCCATCCCCGTAGGCGTTTATGGTATACATGTACACAGTGTAGTGCTTTGAACAATGCTGTGGGAATTGAGAGCTAGAAAAACTCTAGGAAGAAGTAAATTGAGCTCATTGATAGTAATAATAACAGCAACGATCAACGTCTATTGAATACATACTATGCACACCTAATTAGGTGTCATGAATTGTGGGAAGCTATTTCGTTACCTTTTAAATTTTTATGAATTTATTTCTTTAAAAGTTGTCTATTTCCCTCATAGGAAGAGATAGTTATACATTTAAATAAACTTCCACATTTGTTTTTTAAAGCAGTGCTTAAATAAATAGGAAATATTATAAATTAAATTAAATTCCGGTGAAGCGGGGGAGAGATAAGGTCAGAGATTTCAAAACATAATGAAAACTTCGCTCACAGCCATCTTTTGAGGTGCGTCTAGGATGAGAAAACTGAGGGAGACGGAGAGTAAGCCACTTGCCAGTTGTCACCTAGCAGTGGGGCTGGAGCTACCATTGGAACCGCGGAATCTGACGACATATTCCAAGTTTTCAGTCCTCTGAAAAATAGGCCCATATGGCCAGGAGAAGTTATAGTGAAGATTTTACTAATTTTTAGCTCTGTAGAGGCAGTGTTTATGGCAGATATCATACCTAAATTTACTCATTACTTATTTGATCCCTTTCTTTTCGTTAAATGCTCTTTCCAGAGATGAAGTAAAATTGAATAGTGCAGCAATTACATATTAGAAAATTTTACCAGGACAGCTAACAATGATTTTTCTATTTTTGTAGCATTTGTGGTGAAATAGACAAGGGTCTGAAAGAGACATACCAAGAACAACAGCTTTTGTGTGTGTTCAGGGTGTCCCCCGACAGGAAACAAGCTATTTGTTTTCGCTAGATTTAACGTTGAAGTTAAGTCTGGAAAAGTTACTACGTTTTAAAAGATCTTTAAGAGTGAAACATACGAGGAAATGACATTCATCTTCAAAGCAAACTCTAGACCAAAACAAAAATGCCATGAATAATTTGAATGCCAAATTATAACACGAGCTATAATTGAGTTTTGCTGCTTTTTAAAAATTTTAATATTAGAGCTTTTGTTTTGGGGTGAGAGCTTAAAAAGATTCTCTTTAAGATATTTTTATTTAAAAAATGTAATTTCATATAAAATATGGGATTTACTTTATATAAGTAGGATATTTAGTATTCCATGATGTAAGACTACTGTTAGGTCTTGAAAACACTTATGATTAGTCAATTAATAAAATGTCAAAGGAGAATATATACTTTAATTACATCTTAATAAATCTGATGTTTAAGAAGAAGAAGAAGTCTTGAGCTGTCATCACTATTTTCAGGTTTGGAGGAGAATGGTAGCCACCTGATTTCAAATACCTCCACCCCTCCTCCCTTGCTCATGCACAAACACCCATTAGATCCACAAGAAGAGCAAACAGAACCACAGGTGACCCGTACTTAGTGATACCAAACCCAAGCCACACCCACGGCCAGCAAGCCCTTGCCCACTCATAGCCCTGCTCCAACACTGATGTGTCAGCGCTCAGTTTTCTAAGCATTGGCTACACTGGTTTGGGTCAGTCTCACATGCATGTGATTAGACTAAAATTTGTTAGAGTTCAAATGACAGGTTTGACCAAGCAGAAAGAATCCACCCCTGTTTCCCTTCAGGAAACCCGACACTTGTCCCCTTGGATCTTTGGGCCAGAAAGGTAGTGACCTTTCTTCTATGGAAACCTTAGCCTCCCTCTTTGTTTCAGGAGGGCCCACCCCGAAGGCTAGGCTGTAAAAGGATGAAATGAAAAGAAACGAAAGTGGAAACTCCCCATTGGGTGGTTTGCTTTCCTACATTTTTCACTCCTCTCTCCGCCCGCCTTGCTGACTCAGAGGTGTGTGCAGGTGTTCCCCCCCCCCCAGTTAATAGTTGTCAATAGTTGAGGAACAAGGCTGAGGAGTCCCGGTGGCATCATGGGCTGCTAACCTCAAGGTCAGCAGTTCAAACCCATCAGTTGCTTTGCAGGAGAAAGATGAGGTTTCCTACTCTGTTCCCACCTCAGAAACCCAAAGGGCAGTTCTACTCAACTCTGTAAGGTCACTACGAGTAGAAAGTGACTTGATGGCAGTGAGCAGAATTAGAACTCCAGTGTGTGTGTTTTCATTTGTTCTTCAGGGTGATTTGTAGAGTTTTTTGCTGACTGAGTTGGGAGATTGGAATTTACGTAACTATTATCTTTTGTTACTTTGGTAGTCAGCATGGAGTTATGATTCTGATCCAGCCAAACATTGTCACCACCACCCCCTTAAGTGTATATTTTAAGGACGGTAATAGGAATTCTAAGTAAATTAACAACCTTATAGAAACATGTATTTGCCCTGTTAATTTGTAATCAAAGATAGTTAGAAAAAGACTGGTATGACAATAAATATCAACAAAAGCACTCATAGTCTCTGTGGATTTCAAAGGAGCTTATTCTATGTAGAAAAGAGTCACAATACTCCTAAGAAAATAGTTTGTGTGTGTGTATGTAGCTTTGACTAGCTAAAAAGTGTAAAGAATTTTAATCCTGAAATAGTCCCGTAAATTTCATCATAAGTGCTTTGATGTCATTATCAAGGTTGCCATGCGCTATGTATTGCTTCATTTTGTATATGCATGTGTTTACATGCAGTTGAAGACAATGCAATTCTTTCTGTTGCTTACCTTTTGGATCTACGGACTATGTACATTTATTAATGACCCCAGACCTTGTCGATATGTGAGGATATTCACACATATCATTGTTGCCTTTCAGATGGTCTTCTGGTGGTGGGTGTTCACTCAGCAAAGTTCCCGAATGAAAAAGTCCTGGACAACATCAAGAGTGCCGTTCTTCGCTACAACATCACGCACCCTGTGGTCAACGACGCGGATGCCACCCTTTGGCAGGAGCTGGAAGTCTCCTGCTGGCCGACCCTGGTCATACTTGGACCCCGGGGAAACATGCTGTTTTCTTTGATGGGAGAGGGACACAAGGACAAATTGCTGTTGTACACTTCAACAGCTTTGAAGTATTACAAAGACAGGGGCCAGATCAGAGATGCAAGGATTGGAATAAAACTCTACAAGGACTCTTTGCCCCCTTCCCCGTTGCTCTTTCCTGGCAAAGTAACGGTAGATGATGAGAGCGACAGATTAGTCATAGCAGACAGTGGGCATCATCGGATTGTGGTTGTTGGGAAGAATGGACAGATCCAGTATAGCATTGGAGGTAAAGTCTGCCTACAATGGTGATATATAATGCGTTTTCCAGCAAACAGAAAACGGTTTACTTAAAAATCCCAGCATCTAACTTTATAAATAACAAGTACTAGAAGGTGATATTCCTTCACTTTTAACTCCATCCTGAAATTCTTTTGTAAATGAGTGTATAGTATCAGGATTAACCTCCTCTTGTGCCCACAGGTTGGCAGTTCAAATCCAATGGGGAAACGATAAGCCTATCTGCTCCCCCTCTTTTTGCTCTCATTTCCCAACATTGGAAACCCTACATAGGGTCACTGTAAGTCGGGATTGATTTGATGGCAGGGGTTTTTGGGTGGGGGGGATAGTCTTTTGAAATATAAGAACCCCCTCCAAAGCTCCATTTGAATCAAAAGAAATCTTTCAATGAGACGTTGAAAGTGTGCTGGCAAAGCCTATCTTGCTTTTTCAAAACTGCTTTTCAAAAAAAAACGGTTCACTATTGTATCTTATGATAAACCACAATGAAACCCACTGCTGACTCAGAGGGCAAAGTAGAATTGCCTCTTTGGGTTTCTGAGATTGTAACTTTTAGATTGTAGAAAGCCTTGTCTTTCTCCCAAGGAGAGACTGTCCGTTTTGAACTGATAACCTTGTGGTTAGCAGCTCAGTGTACAGCCACCACACCACCAGGGCTCCATGTCTTATGAAAGTAGTACCTATATATACCTTCAAGATTTCAGACATTTCAAATGAGAGAATATTTCATTTTTCATCAGTATCTAGCCATATCTCTTCAAAACTTTACTGCACCCTAAGAATTTGAGATTTGTATTATGAACTATATCAGCGATGATTTACTCATAATTTTACTTTATTTTCCTTCCATTAAAACATCAACACACTCTAGACCCATCTCTAGCAAAATAAGTATCTTGCAAGCAATGGGTCATTTTGTTCTCTATCTCTCTGGCCTCAGATCTAAGAAGGCTTCCTGCTTACATCTACATAATTAATAAAATCTATTAAGTACACTCTCAGGAATCCTTAGTACCTAGACTGAACTGGCCTCTAGCATATTACTCAAAGAGAAAAATATTGTTCCTCTTTTGCAACTATGCGTTAGTAACTCGTGCTGTGTTGGTACATAGGGTAGGGCACTCCAAGTTCCAGAATGAAGTTCGTCATATCGCTAAACCCTCCTGCTGTTCCTAGGGTGCCCAGATACTATTTCCTCAGCTCTTGAATTTGTTATGTCCCTTGTTGGAAACCCAGGTCAGCATGGCTGCTGCTGTTCTAGTGTATGTTTGCTTTGTGGTGGTGGTTTTGTTTGAGCTCCTTGGTGTTTTGATTTATGGCCAGCTGTTAAGAGAATTGGTACTAAAAAAGGATCTATTGTAGAAGCTGGAATTTAAAAGCATTTTTAATAGATTTTACAATTTTCAAAATAGTGTAGGACAATAGTCTCCTTGGTTAAACAGATAAGCCAGAAGCAAGCTGCATTTCCCAAACTGATTCTAGGAATGCTGTTATCTTGTGTTATAGGCGTAACTATTATCAGTTTGAAAACATGAATTTCCTGGGCATCACTGATGTGATGTGGCTTAATGGGTGATTGCTAGGGCAACAGGGGACTTCTCGCGTCTTTTACTCAGTAATCTGCCTTCTGAATAGTCGTGAGGGGATTATAATATACAACACTTTCTAATAATATACAATATTTTCTAATCCAAAGTTCCCATAGAACTCTCCCCTTTCCCCCCTCCCCCCTTAGGGAATTTTTTCCATCAGTTGTAACAACAGAGGCAATAATAACAACCCGTGACCACGGCAGTCGTACAAGACGGAGTGGAGCTGCTCCGTGGAGTTTACGAGATGGCAAATCTGTCCAGGAGCAGAGCTGAGCTTTCCCTGTGGGGTAGCAGGGGGTTTGAACTGCTGACTGTAGGTAGCAGCCTAATACTTCACCCACTGCCCCACCAGAGCTCCTTGATACCAGCGGTAGTCATAGCAGACGCTCGCAGAGCAGGCACTCTTCTAAGCACTTCCTATGTGAACACGTTCAGTTGTCACAAGTTCTCCAGAGAAATAGAGACAGATCATGATCCACAGAGAAGTAGAGCTGGGGTGTGAACCAACCTGGGGACTCCAGCATTCATATGCCTTGCCAGCTGTCAAGCACTCGACTGCTAACCTGGAATGTTGGCTGTTGGAACACCCATGAATGGTGCTTAGGGGATCCAGAAGCCCTTCAAGGACGTAGTCTCGGTGGACATGTGGGTTACTTGTTGGGCTGCAAGCCGTGGGTCCGTAATTGAACGCTCTGTAGGAGAAAAGTGAGACTTTCTACTCCTGTAAAGATTTATAAGCCTCCGAAACCCACAGAGGCAGTTCTACTCTGTCCATGGAGTCTCTGAATCAGGGCTGGCGGGATGGCATTACGTTCGAGGGGCCCTTTAAAATTGGTTTTAGCATTTTGTTGCGTGTTTATTTTGGGGGGAGTTCTTAATTTTAATTGTATTATCAAAAAAACAGCTTCCAAAATGGTTAAAAATCATCCATTTGGATGCTGAAAAATTAAAATATGTTTACCTCTTTCTCGTCTAGATGCTATGTAATTAAGATGCTTTAAAAACAAGTCTCCTGTGCTATGTGGTACTGTACTAAGGACACTAGTAGCTATTGCACGGGAAGGCCTGTCGTTAGCAAAAGCCGTCTTTGAGGAAAGCTGGCGCTGTGGGACGCAGTGGACGCAAACAGCAGGGGCTGCGAGGCTCGAGCAGGACCAGGCAGTCTGCCCTGCGCAGGGTCGCTGTGAGCAGAGCCCGCTCGACAGCACTTGACAACCATCACGTGCTTTATATTCAAATCCAGCACGAAAGACAGAATGAAATACTGCCATTCTGGTGTTTTCTTAGGATTGTTTTTGGACTATGAACATTTTCGTCATGTCTTTCAGGACCTAACCCTGGAAGAAAAGATGGAACATTTTCAGAATCAACTTTCAATTCACCACAGGGTGTCGCCATAAAGAATAATACGATCTATGTGGCAGATACCGAAAACCACCTGATAAGAAAGGTAACCGTTCTGTTTGGAATTGAAAGTCGTAGCGCTTCTCATCAGGGAAGCGGGCATTTATTTGCTACATGAAATATTTCAAGTTAAAAGAATATTGATAGGTGTCTCAATGCATCTTATTCTGTTTTGTTTTGTGTCTTTCCCAGACGTACTTACCTTAGTGTTATTCATAAATATCTTGTTTTTCAGGGGGCTGTATGCTCCCCCAAAGGTTGACAGCCGTGGGAACCCCAAAGAGCACTCCTCCTCTGTCGTACAGGATCTCTGTGTGTCGGGATGGACTCATTGGCAGTGGGCTTGGCGTTTGCTAGGTGTCAAAGCCGATAGCTGTGCTTTTTAACGTCTTGTTTCACAGTCATTAGCCCCTGGGCAGCAAAGTAGTATCTTGGAAGAGTTGGCATCTGGGACATGTTCAATCTCCAACTCCTTGGAACTAGTCTGGGATTCATTCTTAAGAGAGCTTGTTACCACATCAATCACGGTTAGCCCCCTCCGTCCTACCCACTCTCAGACCTTGCAACCCATCGTTTACCCCACTTGTTTACCTAGCAATCCTGTTGATATTTACAAAGAACCAGTTGTTTATTTCATTGAGTCTCTTTATTGTTTTTGTAGTCTCTTTTTCCTTAGTCTCCATGCTACTCTTTGTTATTTCCTTCTTTGGACTTGCTTTGGGTTTAGTGTGCTCGCCACTGGTGTGCTGGTGGAGACCTGGGACAGAGGGAAATGAGACAGGCTGGATTCTGTCAATTTCAATAACAAGAAGGCCCCATCGTTAACGTACCTTTTTGTGGAAAACACTGTGTTGCCAATATATGTGTCCTGCTGGAAATGTTCATACAGACCAAAGAAAACAAGCGAAAGCACCCTGGGTTGCATTAAAGGGCCCGTCCGCTTTCTGTAGATCGACCTGGATGCTGAGCTGGTGAGCACAGTGGCCGGCATTGGGATCCAAGGCACAGACAGAGACGGAGGAGCCACAGGAGAAGAGCAGCCCATCAGTTCCCCCTGGGATGTCGTTTTTGGAACATCAGGTGTGTGGACTTTCTATGTGAAATAGAAATAAACTTTGCTTAATGCAAGTGAGATGTAAAATATACTTTGGGGGCATTCATTTGGATTGTTTCTCTTGTCAGTTATTTCATACTTTTATATCACTGGGTTGGAACTTGCTAATTGTGTAAAAACAAAGGCAACAGAGAGCTAGCCTGGATAACATTATATATTACATTTCACAAACAGTATTTTAATTGAAGAATTTTATTGTGGCCTTAGGTTCTATTTGAGATAGATATCCTTACTGTAAGAGAATTAAAGAATTAGTTACAGCACTTCAAAACTTGTTCATGAGCTGTATCGTATACTAGTGCCCTTATTTATTATAATTTGAATAAGAAAACAGTGACAGCTGTTTGTTTTTTTGTAATCGCGTGGAAATGAGAACTGCTTCTCAGCAATTGAAAACAAACAAAAACTCTACTCTACCTATTAATGTAGACATTGATGACGAGCTAGGTTTGTTTTTATGATCCGTACTGTCTTTATGAATTGATCAAAAGATCATCTAGGAGCATGTGTGCTCTTAATTTTCACTGACTCTCAGCAGAACTGAGATGGTTTCTCCAGATCTGGAAGCAGACGAATGAACGGAGAAACTCCCAATGACACACTGAAACGGGAATTGGGGACTGACTGGTTTCTATAGTCTTTAATACAGTTAAAGAATAAGCACCACCCTAACTGAATGGCTTTACTTTCCTGACATTTATCTATTGCGCTCCCAGTTGGTTTCTAAGCCCAAGACCTCGTAATATTTTCTATGCTGACTAGCTTTATCAAGATTTCAATATTCATAAAGTACTGTATATACTCGAGGATAAGCCAAGTTTTTCAGCACCTTTTAAAAAAAATTATTTTATTGGAGGCTCATACAATTCGTATCATAATCCATACATACATCCATTGTGTCAAGCATATATGTACATTTGTTGCCATCATCATTCTCAAAATATTTGCCTTCCACTTTAGCCCTTAATATCAGTTGCTCATTTCTCCCCCTCCCCCTCCCTCATGAACCCTTCATAATTCATAAATTATTGTTTTCTCATAAGTTACACTGTCCAACGTCTCCCCCCACCCTCTTCTCTGCCGTCCATCCCCCAGAGAGGAGGCAATACTTAGATTCTTGTAATCAGTTCACCCCACATTCCCTCCACCCTCCAGGCATCACCACTCTCACCACTGGTCCTGAAGGAGTCATCTGTCCTGGATTCCCTGTGTTTCCCAGTTGCTATCTGTACTGTGCACATCCTCTGGTCTAGCTGGATTTGTAAGGAAGAATTGGGATCATGATAGTGGGGGGAAGAGGGGGAGGAAGCATTAAAGAACTAGAGGAAAGTTAGATATTTCATCGTTGCTACACTGCACCCTGATTGGTTCATCTCCTCCCCACAACCCTTCAGTAAGGAGGTGTCCAGTTGCCTACCGATGGGCTTTGAGTCTCCACTCTGCACTCACCCACCTTTACAATGATATGATTTTTTTTTCTTTGATGCTTGATACCTGATCCCTTCGACAGCTTGTGGTCACACAGGCTGTTGTGCTTCTTCCATGTGGGCTTTGTTGCTTCTGAGCTAGTTGGCCGCTTATTTATCTTCAAGCCTTTAAGACCCCAGACACTGTATCTTTTGATAGCCAGGCACCATCACCTTTCTTCACCACATTTGCTTATGCACACGTTTGTCCTCAATGATCCTATCAAGAATGTGGGCACCCACTGATATGATTTTCAGTTCTTTGATGTCTGCTAACTGGTCCCTTCTGCACCTCGTGGTCAGACAGGCTGGTGTGCTTCTTCCATGTGGGCTTTGATGCTTCTCAGCTAGATGGCCACTTGTTTGTCTTCAAGCCTTTAAGACCCCACATGTTATATCTTTTGGTAGCTGGGCACTATCAGCTTTCTTCACCACATTTGCTTATGTTCACCTTTTTCTTCAGCAATCGTGTCGGGAATGTGTTCAGCACATTTTTTATGCAGTTAAAATTAGGTGCCTTGGTGGATATTCGGGTCGGCTTGTATTCGAGTATATACAGTAAACTGACACACTCCTAGTAGTACCTAAACCTTGTGTATTTAGAACCGGTATTTTGGGTAAGTTCTGTTTTCAGACTTCCACTTTTGAAAGTCTGTGTTCTAAATAACTGAGTTATTTCAGTTGCTCACCAGGAGGTGAGGAGGGAGGCAGCTGTGGAGTAGTACACCCCAGGTGCAGGAAATGAGCCCATACAGCCTATATGGAGATTTTTAGAACAGTAATAAAACCAATTAAAACTCAGTCTGCTTTCTATTGCCAGGCACCAGCAATTACAAACAATTTTAGAGTTAAAAATATTTGTCCCCACCAGGACTCATCATTCTTACAGCCCTGCATTTGGAAGACCCCCATCTGAACTGTTTGAGCATAACTGATAGATGGAAAGACCATCTGAACTATGCCAAAGACATAGTCCAAGTGGGCGAGAACTGATCATTTTGTACTCTGTTACCCCCTCTTGAGGGAAAAAAGACATTTCTGCTTTAATACGTAAGACCCTGGGGTTTGTAATCCATACAGCAGTTTAGTTCTGGATGTTTGCACTTCGCGACTGAAGCCTGTGTTTACCGTGACCACAGGTCCACTGCCGTCCAGTCAACTCCGATCCATGGCAACCCTCCGTAGGGTTTCCAAGATTGAAAAGCTTTATAGAAGCCGATGACCTCTTCTTTCTCCAGTGGAGGAGCTGGTGGCTTTGAACTGCTGGCCTTGCAGTTACGTCAACACTTACTTATAGCACTACCTGGACCTGTCAGCAATTGCCACTGTAATCCTGTATAAGGGATCATCCCCAAATGCTCGCTCTTTAAACCTTTTGTTTTTCACGCACATACCGGGGTGGAGTGCAGCTGGTCGAGACTGAGTTAGCCTGGGCATGACTCCTGGCTGTTTGTTGGGGTCACATCAGCTCCAGGTGTCTCATTCTCTTTGGAAGAATAGCCGTTTGAGGCATTTCTCTTGGCAGAAGGCAAAAGGGTAGAGTGAGTTTGTGCTCATGACATATCCATTCATGTACTGTTATTAAAGCAAATCATATAACCAAGCTGCCGTGATGAGATGCGGCAAAGACATGGCTATCTAGTACAGTGAAACCTGCGAGAGCCAGAATTCACCGGGACTGCCTTGTTTTTCTGAGGCTCGAAAGTCGTCTGCCTCTGTCAGGTACAGCCTTCATGCTTCCGTCCCTTTCTGTCAAAACTGAGTTTTCTTCCACTGATAGGTTTTTGCCTTATACTAGTTCTAGCTTTTGCAGGTTTTGCCTGGTAAAGTGGGTCAGAACCACCTTGATGACACCTAACATATTACTAGAGAGAAGTGGGAAAAATGCCAATAATTTGATTGTATATACTTGTGTGTGTGTGTGTTTAAAATCAGAAGTTACATTGCTTAAAAGCAAGACATACTTTACTTAATTCTTAACTACCATATATACTCGAGTATAAGCTGACCGAATATCAGCTGAGGCACCTAATTTTACTGCAAAAACTGCATTAAAAATGTGCTGGAAAACTGGGCTTATACACACGTATATACGGTAAATTGATTTCTCTAATGGCCAAAGAGTGCTTTGTAAGTTTTCTAAGCTAAAATATTTCAGTTGTATTTTCTTTATGCTATTAAACAAACGCTGCATTGAGAATGCACTCCGAATTGTTTCCAAAGAAAATCTGACTCTCTCGATAAGTAAGGAGCCCTCCTTGGCGGCGCAGTGGTTAAGCACTCAGCTGACAACAGGAGACTGGCAGTTGGAGCCCACCACCCTGCAGAAGAACGACGTGGCAGCCTGCTGCCATAGAGTCTGGCTACGGAAACTGCCCATCTGGGTCGCTGGGAGGGAGGAGGAATCAAGGCGGTGAGGTCAGCCTCCACGTAGAGCAGCATCCTGAGACACAGGTCTTGGCTGCGCTCCTCTGTTTTCAGTAAGAGAGTTGAGTCCGTCTTCTGGTCAACACATTATTAAAAGCAAACGGTTCTTCGTTCGACTGCAGCTTGAAATAGCTTCATTCCAGGTGTTTGGCAGAGAAGTGATCTTGAATGCACTTGAGCTCAGTGCCTTTCACTGTTGACTAAAAGAAAATGCTTTTCAAGAAACCCTACAGTTACAATGACTATTCTGGTCCAAAAGTGCCCTGCCAAAGATATTCGTGGTTAGGCTTTAATGAGGTGCTTGAATCTCCCACACATTCTAAGGTTGAGGGGAACTCTCCACTGCTTCCCCCAGATTATCAAAAATTTTAAGAAACACTTTAGATTATACTAAAAGGAACCGTGTGTGTGTGTGTGTGTGTGTGTGTGTGTGTGTGTGTGTGTGTGTGTGTGGTCTTCAGAGTGTGTGGCAAAATGGAATTAAATGATAATGTAATTTTCCATGAACGTTTGGAGACCCTCATATTTTAAATGGTTCCACCAGGTTTATCCTAATTATGCCTTTTCAGAATAAAAATTTAAAAATAATTGACCTAAAGTGATCTTTATCAAGGTGATTGTTTCCTCTTTGGATTTTTACTCTTAATAGTGATCAGAACTTTATAATGCACTGAAATAATTATCAACTGCTATAAATTCATTTTTTTCCAGCAGAAATTGCCATATTGCCAAAACATATGTCAAATCAATGCTGATTCTTCAAATATGCTGGATAATCACCTGAGAGGTTTTTTGTTTGCTCTTTTAATCATTAAGGACAAGATCCTGCCAGGCTCCCAAGTACTTTAGTCTTTACCTGATGTGAAATCATTTATTGAAAGGATAAGGTGCCCCAATCCCATTAACCTTCCTTGGCCCTTTAATCATCATTGTCCCAAGATAAAAGTTCAACTGTTATCACACAACAGCCAAAGTTGAAATCTAGCTATTTAGCATGCTAGTCTTATCATCGACAGTCCTTAGATAATAGGCTTCTCTCACGGCTGTTAATACAGTATAAAATACAATTAAAGCAGTTCTTTCCAAATAATCCTATGGTTTAGACAGTTTGGGAGGAATATATTTTATGCAATGCCATTAATAAGTTTTTATTTGTTTAAAATGCAAGGAATTATAGTATCTTTATAGCAAAAACTGTGAAAAGAAACTCTTCTACTATTTTATCACATTGAGTTGGTGTTAAGATTTCCTAGTTCAGTGGTTCTCAACCTTTCTAATGCCGCGACCCTTTCATACCTCATGTAGTGGTGACCCTCCAACCATAACATTATTTTTGTTGCTACTTCATAACTGTGATTTTGCTACTGTTATGAAACATGTGACCCCTGTGAAAGGGTCATTCAACCCCCAAAGGGCTCGCAACTCACAGCTTGAGAACCGCTGCCTGATATGAGAGCCGGTTGCCCTGGAGTCTGCTCCTGTCCACGCTGCCCTGGGTGTTAGAGCAGACCTGCTCCAGAGGTTTCCAGCGCTGCCATTTCCGAAGTGGATCCGGCCTTTCTTTGGAGGCACCTGTGTGAGCTCGGAACAAAAGCCAACCTTTCAGTCAATAGCCGCGCACATTAGTCCTGTGCCCTACCAGGAACTCCTCATGGGCACAGGGTCTCCAGGTTGTCAAAGGGCCAGCCCGAGCTGATCTGACCACACTGATGAAAAAATAAATGGTTCATGTTTCATAAGAGTAAAAATCAAATAACCTTTTGATTTGTTTTTTTAAATCTGTCTAAAGCATGATTATGACGAGATCACATGATTCTACAAAGCCTCCATAACTCCTGCTATTTGGAGAATAACAACCAAAGTGTTACAGGCCTTCTCTAAGATGGTCCAGTAGAGATGAGGGCGGTCTCAACCAGATGGCTCGACACGATGGGCGCAAGTATACAAGTGGTGTGCAGCTAGCACAGGCCAGCAGTGTTTCATTCTGGTCCAGCACGAGAGTTGCCCTGCATCAAAGCCACCCTGGCGCAGTCAGAGTAGGGAGAGGACACCAGAAGATCTGGGCCACAAAGCCACCTGTCTAGGAAGCCCTGAGGATGACTTTGATTAGATCCCTCTTCTTCATCTGATGTGAAATACCCTTGAGTATTGATGCCAAAGTAGTAAGTGCACTTGAATACATGGGACAGAGACCCGAGGGAGGAAGAACAGAGGAGTCCAGAGAGCATTTCAGGGAGGAAGAACAGAGGAGTCCAGAGAGCATTTCAGGAGGAAGAACAGAGGAGTCCAGAGAGCATTTCAGGGAGGAAGAACAGAGGAGTCCAGAGAGCATTTCGGCATTCCTCCTTGCCAGTTAGACACTGGTAACCGAGGGCCGAGCTCATGGATGGGTCATAGTCCAGCCGTGGCTGACATTTAATGGGTGTGTGCATTTTAGCAAACTATTTAGAATTTGTTTTTCTTTAAAATGGAAATGATTATAATAAAATTTCCTAATGTTATGTTTAGGAAAAGAGTCCCTGTCAAGTGCTTAGCTCGGTGCCTTATTCCAGTTGATTCCCGTGATTCCCATCACCACATACAATCCCAAATACCGCAGCCTCGCCAGCCACAGCGTCTGCTTCTGCACCTTTTCTCAAGCTTACAAAGGAAATAAGAGAAGATGACCACACCAATGCTCCCGCTTTATTCCGTGAATCCTTACACACAAAATGACAAATCCAATGAAGTAAATTTTTCACAAGGAAATAGAACATTTCACGAACAACTTAAAGCCTTGCTCAGATTTTTACTTTTCCCTGTTAAATGATATACCAACTTAGTGCTGCCTTCCCGAATTTAAATGTCTGCAACCATTGAGTGAGTTTATCTCCCAGGTACATAGCTAATGACGACCGTTTGTTTTGATAAAGCTGCAGAGGCCCATAGAAGTGACATTCTGTGGATCGCCATGGCAGGGACTCATCAGATTTGGGCCCTCCTCCTGGACTGTGGCAAACTACCAAAGAAAAAGTAAGTGGCAATGGTTTTCTGGGTTCACCAAAGATAGCTGTGTGTGCTTCGGCCACACAGCATCCAGCGTTACTTCCCCAAAGTCCCCATCCTAACAATGCCCACTGTACTCATCAGGGGATGGGAGGTTACCGTGTTCTTGCAGGTAACGTGCCTACAGAAATACTGTGCATGCACATATAGCATGCACAGGAAACTCACATGCAAAGGGACTGTTTAATGTGTGTGTTATGTGTGCAAAAGTTTACTCTACTGCCGTAACCGACAGCCTGGGTCATTGAGGGCTTGAGAGACAATGAATGAGCCTTAGTCCTAGTTCGCACACACAGGTTTTCTGGGGCCCCGATGAAGTAGCCACCTGTGGCATTTTGTCAGAGAAGAACAAAGGTAGGTCTTAAGGCCTCTGTTCATCAGAAACATGCAACACGACGTCTTCTCTTTCAGCAGCTAGAGCGAGTCCTGTGGCCACACCTAAGGTTGGGGGCCCCTGAGAAGGGCAGACCTATTGAGCATCCAGAAAGACAACTGGAAATATAATGGATGCTTAGCGCTTAAGGCATAGCTCAGCTGTATTTGAGTCCCACATAGCAGAGTGGTTAAGAGACCAAGTTTCATCTTTGAGCCTGAGATTGAAGCCTGTTTCTGCCCCTTATTATCTGTGTGAGCCAAGAAGAGTCTCCAACTCTCAGAGGCTCAATTTCCTTCTCACCGTGTTTTGAGAGCGAACACTGTGATAAGCCCCGCGTGGGCTTGTGCATCGATGCAGAGAGCTTTGCCACAGCTGTTGCATGCCTGGAGCCCTGGTGGTGTGGTGGGGTACGCGTTGGGCTGCAAACAGCAAGGCCAGCAGTTCAAACCCACTAGTCGCTCCGAGGGTGGATGATAAGGCCTTCTGTTCCCGTAAAGACTATCAGCTCCAGAAGCCCACCGAGGCAGCTTGACCCACTGGAGGGTTGCTCTGAGTCGGCATTGCCTGGCTGGCAGTGAGCTTGGCTTTCTCTGGTTGCAGACAGACAAGTAAGCTAGGCGAGTACCTCGGGAAAAGTCCCTTCTCTCTGTTTCAGGAGCGTTTCCTCTTCTCCCATCACTCTGGCCAGAGTAACCATATTCTGCTGAGGGACCCCAGCAGGCCAGAAGGCTGGTACATTCCCGCCCTGGTGGACTTCCTTCTTCCCCCTCTCTCTCTCCTTGGCTGTCGTTACTTGTTTATGTAACTATTTTCTCCTCCTAGATGGCCTCGTATAGAAGGGAACTTTATCTGAATCCATTTTGTGTTTCCTGTTTGCTTTTAGCACAGTGTCTGGGATATAATGAAGCTCAGTCAGGGGTTGCCGAATAAATAAATAAATGAAAGCCATGTGACCATAGAGACTGTTAGCTCCATGGAAGGTAAGTGCTGGTCACCCTAGTGACTTTCGTCAGTAGAAAGGGGCAGGGCTGTACATAATCCAGATAGCAACTCATCCAGATAGTGTGCGTGTGTGTTTTGCTTTGCAACATTTATGTGACATTTTGAAACCATTAGTCATTCTTCTAACATATTAAACAGTCTATGTACTAGGCACTAGGCTCCTTATGCTGAGAATAATATGAAAAGATTTGATTACTGTTCTTGAGAAGACTCAGATCACTAAACAAACCATTAAAACAAAAATGAGTGGGCAGTGCAGGTGCTGTGACCAAAAGGAATCTCTTCATTGTCTTGTCATTTGAGGTTGTCCTTTATATAAAAGAGGAACGGCTGTATCGATACGATTCGAGGTTTAAGGAAGGCGTCCTGGGAGAGACTAGGAAACGGAGGCCTGGTGGAGGAGTAGGAGTTAGAGAAAGGGAGGAGAGATTTTCCAGACAAGAGGTAGCCCTAGTGATGTCAGTAACAAGCAGGTCACCAAGCCTGTGGATCCTTGTCCGTGTTTGGACATGATTCCTTCAAGCCTGGGAAGTGATGTGAACAGATGTTTTGGGAGTGGACAGATAGCAGTCAGAAGACTGTTGCTACCACATAAGCCAGGTGTGAGAGAGGCTGCACAGCGATTTCCATGAGGCATTGTTGTTATGAACCACAACCAGCAGTGACAGGTGGTGAGAATGTGCTGCTGCCGTGCTGGCTGTGTGGGACACGGATGGTCAGGAATGGCCTGAATTTCCAAATAGTCAAATGATCCTCTTCATTCATATTAGGAAACTACATAATTAGTCAGATCACGTTGGCTTTTGAGGGTGCTCTGGGTTTGTAATTTATTGGTCATAGCCAGTTAGAAAGTGTCTGAAGGACCTCTGGTGGCACTGTGACGGAGGTGTTGGCGGCGGTTCACACCCACCAGCTGCTCCAGAGAAAATGACAAGGCCGTCTGTCCCTGCCATTCTTGGAGACCCTCCGTAGGGCTGTGATGAGCCAGAGCTGACTGATGCCAGTGGGTTTGGATTGGGGTTTATCTTTATTAGGAGCCCTTGTGGCATCGTGATTACCAGTTGGGCTGCGCATTGTAAGGTCAGCAGTTTGAAACCACCAATGGCTCCATGGGAGAAAGATGAGGCTTTCTACTCCTGCAAAGAATTGCACTATTGGAAACCCACAGGGGCAGTTCTACCCTGCTCTCTAGGGTCACTCTGCGTCAGAATGGACTCAGTGGCAGTGAGTTCGGTCTGGTCTGCTTTATTATTGATCGTCAGGTGATTGACGCCGCCGAATGTTTTAGAAGGTAAACTGTGTTTCCCATTTTCTCTATGGCTTAATGAAGGGACATCGTTTATTTGTTTAAGTGTCAAGATTCCTCATAATTACTACCTTCTAAATGATTTGTTTTTCAGGTTAGTTATTACGTTGCTGCCTAGATCAGAGACTCCCAAACTTATTTGGCCTACCACCCCTTTTTCAGAAGAGAAAAAAATTGATGAGCACCCCTGAAAAGCTTTCACGCTGTAGCCCATAATCCAGGATAAAGTACAAGTATCTGCCTTGCAGCCCTCGGGATTGTCCCAGGGCCCCTCAGGGGGAGGTGCCACCCACTTCGAGGAACACTGGTCTAGATTGTTTTTAATAGAACCTTTGGGTAAGGGGCCATGCTTTGGACATTCTGTGTCCCTTTGTCCCTTTGCCTTCGTGCTCCACCGCCACCAGACTGCGCCTCACGACCGCAGCAGCCAGGAAGCGGTGGGTGGCTGTCTCAGCCTCACGCACCTCGCCACTGGACACAGCATGCATCTGGGCTCACGAGACACCAACGTCGTGTTTTCCTTACACGGCCACCTTCTCACCTAAACTGATGTAAAAGAAACCAAAGAGTAAAGCTTTCCCCACATGACAGAAATAAATCATTACAGTAGCCTTTGAAATGAATTTCCCTTGTGTGGATAAGAAATTGATTTATTCTGTCATTCTGTTAGCGCAGCATAATCCAAAACATTTTCTTAAAATAGTTTAATGGCTCACTTGACCGTTTGAAAATTAATCTTTAATTCCTTTTGCTAATCTCATGCAGACTAAAACCACCAAAGACACACAAAAAAGTTAATGAACATATAAACTTTATCCCGAACAAGAGAAGCATTTTAATTCTCTTTCAGATGAAGGTAGGATTAGGCCAGACTATCCGAGGGATGAGCTGACCCTCATTCTAATTCTAACTCCCTTGGCGATTTCCTGAGGGACCCTTTAAGAAAGGGAGCAGTTGTGTGTATCGAGGAATGGTAGGAGGGCGCCCCCAGTGGATAAACAGGTCCATGACCGAACTAGTCCATGACTTGCTCGCTTTAGAGGCGCTCCAGGGGCAGCGGGCAGCGCAGTACTTTACACGTGGAAGACTAACAAAGGCAACAGCAACGGCTCCATGCTAGAAAGGCGAGGCTTTCCTCTCAGAGAGTCGCCGGTCAGAAGCCCAGGGGCGAGTCTCACCCTAGCCTGTCGTGTCCGAGGCAGAATAGATTCAATGGCAGTAAGTTTGGTTTGAGGTTTTTTTGTTTTGTTTTGAGTGGGGAGGGTTGTTGCTCATTTTCACTGCTCAAGAGCACTGCTCTTTCTTACCATTTTTATCACCGTCGACTGAATCCCTTACATATATTTGTTAATAACCAAATTAGATGCAATGCACCAGTGTTGATTCTACCTACGAACCTGTCTTTCTATAGTGAGTTAAAGAAAGGAACCTGCCTTCGATTTGCTGGAAGTGGGAATGAAGAGAATCGAAACAATGCGTACCCGCACAAGGCAGGCTTCGCCCAGCCTTCGGGCCTCTCTGTGGCCACCGAGGAGCCCTGGGCCTGCCTGTTTGTGGCGGACAGTGAGAGCAGCACGGTGAGGACCGTCTCACTGAAGGACGGAGCGGTGAAGCACCTCGCAGGCGGAGAGAGAGACCCCATGGTAATGACCGCGCTGTTTAATGAATGGCCAGACCCTTACCAAACTCCCCAGCTCCTGAGACGTGGAGAATTCGTAGACATGTAGGAGGGAGAGCCTCAGGCTTTCAAAATGAACCTGACAGTCAGACCCGAGGGAATGTGAGCAGAAAGAAGCCCAGAAGAGTCAACTGGATTCTACGTGACGCTGTGTGAGTGTGAACTCTGTAGGGAGATGAAATATTAGTGAGTGGTGAGAAAAGAGGAATGTAGCTTGGATAGTTGTCAGTGGGGTGGGAAAAGCCCCAGGCTGGCAGGCCTGGCCTATTCCTGACCAGCCGTGGGCCTGTGGTGCATGACACCACAGTTAGCTTAGGACAGGCTCACAATTCTGCCACAGTTACTAATTCCCCCTTTACTTAGAAAGCACAAGGAGCCATCAGAAATTTCACTTTCTCTTTTAACAAAGCACTGTAAGATTTTAATAAATGCTATTTCTTTCTTTTTTGAACAAAAAGAATTTATTCGCCTTTGGTGATGTTGATGGTGTAGGAGTCACTGCAAAGCTTCAGCACCCCCTTGGAGTGGCATGGAACAGGAAAAGGAGTTTGCTTTATGTGGCCGACTCCTACAACCACAAGGTGAGCCTCGGCAGACTGACATGACAACCTGTCTTTCACGTGCGGGGTTTAAAATGCTAAGAAAGCTCCAGCTGTCGCTCTGAAGTTGGGCGAGGACTAACAGTCTTTGTTGACCATAGACGCTTACTCCAGTATGTTCTTGGGCCTCTCTGGGCATAGAGATTGGGATGGGACTCTGAACTGGCAGAGCGCTCCACAAAGTCGTAGTCACTAAGGGCAAATGTTGTGACGCTCCATCGAAGCTGAGTCAGCAAGTACAGACAAGGCTAAACACAGGGAAATGAATGTGCGAGCTAACCAGTGCACATTTTTGAGTGGATGTATAGTTGCACTGCCTGTTAGCAAATAATTCCGTGTTTGGCAGCATTTCCATTTCTGTAGCTACTATACCCCATTCCCTTGTTCACTTTTCTTTGTCATAGAAAACATGAATGTAGGAGGTCATGAATGTCCTTCTTTTGTTACGGGAGACTGTGAGTTCAGTATGATCCAGGTGCAACAAGAAACCTTTCAAGGTGAACAAATGAAGCACATCATCCGCTGGGTTTGATGCTCCCCTTGTGAAGAACAACTACGTTTTTTAAAATAAGCACAGAATCTCAGAAACCATCATCTCCTCAAAGATGGCCTCTAGAAATCACAAGCTGTAACTAGGGATTAGCATCACTTTTAGCTTTCTGGATAGAATCTCTCCCCTTAAGTCGGTAATTTGAATACTTGGCTTTTTCAATAAATTATGGAAATGCAGTTCTCAGATTTGTTAGGAATAGAAGTAGCACTCAGAAATTCTCTTGCCTACTTCACAGTGTACTACTTGAAATTGACCTTGAGTGTGTGTGTGTGTGTTTCTCTTTCTCCTTCAGATTAAAGTTGTGGATCCCAAAACAAAACACTGTTCAACATTAGCAGGAACAGGAGATGCAAGTAATGTCATCGGTCCCAGTTTCTCAGAGTCAACCTTTAATGAACCAGGAGGCCTGTGTATTGGAGAGAATGGACGGTTATTATATGTAGCGGACACAAATAATCATCAAATTAAAGTGATGGATTTAGAAACAAAAACCATTTCTGTGGTAAGTAGTCTTAGAGTAAACGAAGGGTATCATTCAAGAGAGAATGAGTGAAGGCTCACAGCACCAGTGGACAGTCTGGGCTAGGCACTGTCAGCGGTGACAAGGACGCCCATTGAAAGGGTAGTGGGTGAAGGCCCATGACGTGTACCCTGATCCTTTGATTAACAGGGCTGCTTCAGGATATCTGTGTTACAACGTCGTATGTGTGCTGAGGGGTGGGAAAGACACTGGAGTTTGGAGAACCTTCCCAAAAGGAGGGAGAGGGGACTCCGACTAGGTCAGCGCTTCTCAACCTGTGGGTCCTGACCCCTTTGGGGGTCGAACAACCCATTCACAGGGGTCGCCTAAGACCATCAGAAAACACGTATTTCCAATGGTCTTAGGAACCCAGACACTGCACCTCTATCCGTCTCCAGGTGCAGATATGCCCACAGACGAGTGCCAGGCATAAAGGCTGTTATCTATCCTATGCCATGCTTCAAGACAAAATTTCATTGATTTGTCATTAGAAATAAATATTTCACAATATAGAATTACATGTTTTTTGTGATGAATCACTATGCTTTATGTTCAATTTGTAACAATGAAAGTACTTTCTCCCTATCACATATATACATGACGATTCATAACAGTAGCAAAATTACAGTTATGAAGTAGCAACAAAAATAATTTTATGGTTGGGGCTCAGCACAACGTGAGGAACTGTATTAAAGGGTCGCTGCATGAGGAAGGTTGAGAAGCACTGGTCTAAGTGTATAGACCCACTGCTCCCACGTCTTCTGTGGGTCGGGTAGCCCGTTTTTCAATATGCCTGAGGTTCTATTTGCTAACATTGTTTTCTGTGGCAAGTGCATTAACAGTCTTCTAAGGAAGTTCTAGAAGCTACGTTTCTCAAACCATTAGAAATGAGAATGGAAGAAACATCAACAAGTTCTAACCGGTTTTTCAAGAGCTGGACCTGCTCGTTAGTAGAATGTTAAAGGGCAAATGTCCACTGCAGGGTTGTTTTTCCCTTTAGAGTTTTAGGGATTTCTAAAGTACATCGGTTAAAATGGAAAAACAACACAGGTTATTGTAGGGGTCATTATTCCTGACAAATCTGTGCCATCGTCTGAGGACATACTTTACCATCAGAGTGTAGTTTTCCGTCTCTAACGAATTGGTTAATTACTTCTCCCCCCTCTGTGTGGATACTCTTGCCAGGTGAAAGTCCCCACGAGTAGCCTTGAGGCCGTCTAAGTCGATGCGTTCTGGCTGGGACTAAAATGGTAGTGCAGCTTCATTGACGTAGGGTTTTCATTTTCTACCAGATAAATGTACATAAACTCGCACACTTTGCAGTTAGTGTAAACTCTTTGTGTTTTAATAGCAGGTGTTCTTATTTTGCAGCTCCCTGTTGTCAGATCTGAAAATGCTGTGGTAGATGGCCCATTCGTGTTAGACAAACAGAAGACAAGACCTAAGTTGCCCAAATCTGCTCCAAACATTTGTCTTTCCCCAGTGACGGCATCTCCAGGCCAGACTCTGCAGTTCACGCTGAGATTAGAGCTCCCGTCAGGCTCAAAGCTGACCGAGGGCGTGAGCAGTTGTTGGTTTCTGACTGCTGAAGGTATGGCCATTTAAAGCCTTGCAGGTGTGCATGTCCTGTAAGTTCTTGATGTTTATTCTCGTGAATGGTTCTTGTGTGTTGTGTGATGCTCTTACTCTGTGGTTGGGCAAGACTTGAGAAAGGAGATGTGAAAAATGAGTGAGTCCGAATCGAACCCCACGCTGCAGCTTTCTTGAGACGCTGAGACTCTTCCCTTTGGTTGGAGAACCCTGGCGTACCCCAAGTCGCATTTCAGTTGTTATCACGGACTTTTTGGAATGTGGACTTCCCCGTACCTCTTCTTTTATTCGAATCTTGTTCCCAGAAAGAACGACCTACCATTGAAAAGTCTGAAGTGGAAAAATTAGGTAGGAGGCATCTCCATAATCATTTTTTTCTATATGCATTCCCCTCTTACCCCCTCAATCTCTTTCAGGCTCTTCATTCGCTAAGTCTTTCTACAGAAATAAACACTTTAAAAGGACTAAACATTAAAGGACAATGTCAGAGCACCCCCCTGCCTTGTGAGCGTGTTAAAGGACCGTCAGGGCTGTCAGATACCCTGAAATAATAACCTGGGAGTGCGGCATCCCCATGTGATGAATGAGATCCGTTTTTAACGGTCTTTAAGAGTTTGTGGCTAAGTTGGAATGGGTGTGCGTGGTTCATGTCTAGTCTCACTTTAATGCAAGAAAAGCCTTCCAGCCTTTCTGAAGATCTAAAAGCTGCACCTGCAGCCAGTGCAGGTGATCGCGATGACGAATGTGTGGCCAGTAGAGGCTGGTTCCGAGGAGTGCTGGTGAAATGATGGGCTGCAACCACAAGGTTGGCGTGTGGACCCCACCAGGCACTCCCAGGGAGGAAGGCTCTCTGTGCCCCTGTCCCCCCCCCCCACTCCCTCCACCCCCCGCCTCCGTGTCCAGATTTACCGCCTCGGAAATTGCCGGAATCGTTCTACTCTGCCCTCTAGGACTTCGAAGAGTCAGAACCCACTAATGGGTTTGAGAGCTGGTCTCAGTCATTTCATAGTGAGGACAAAGTAACATAAAACTGGACTGTCCAACTGGCGACTTAGGGGCTTTGATGGTGTAGTAGATAATGAGTTTGGCTACTAACTACAAGGTTAGCAGTTCAAAAGCACCAGCTGCTCTGTGGGAGAAAGGCTAGGCTCAGAAATCCACATGGGCAGTTCTCCCCTGACCAGTGGGGGAGCTGTAATCCTAATGACTTGGATGGCAGTGCCTTGGGGACTGCCTGAGCTATTAATGTGATAAAGACGGTTTGTGTGAGACCTTCTCTAAAGACTGGAAGGAGCTGATTTGCAAAACAAAAACTTACCAACCCTTACCCCTTTAAATGTTTTGCTTAAAAGACCACTCCATTCTTCCCTCCCAGCTTTGAGGGTACAAGGGAAACTAGTAAATGTCATTTCACTCCAGCTGGGCAGTCAGCCTCCCATCTACTGGGCAAGTCCAGCTCCTGAGGCAGGCTATGTAGTCTCAGCAAGATCTTGAACACTGGTACTGAAAGGTATTAAACGCCATCTATTCAAACTCCCTTATTTTACAAATAAGGAAACTTAACTATTGGCTCAAAGAGCTGAAGTGACTTGCCTATGGCTGAGGATTGAGTTAGGTCACAAACTGGAATTTGAACAAATTCTGCTGATTCTGAGTTAAGTGTTTCCATCATATGCTATTCTATCTCAAACTAGCTCCAGAGGCATTAGCCCAAGAAATAACATGAATATCTTAAAAATGCGTGCAAAATCCTAAGCCACACATTTGGAAGACACAACCAAGTGACATCACTGCAAAGGTATCCAAGTGTCTACTCTCCATCTCTGAACTGTACTCACCACGGTCCGTGGCGTCAGAGCTGCCCACGGACTACACTGAGGAGCACCGTTCGAGAGCACTCCAACGGAAAGAAAGGCGGCGGAATCAAGCAAGGAGACGAGCGTGGACAAGCAAGAGGACAACCTAGAGCAGAGTTTCCTGGGAGCCAGGTGTTTTGAAGCAAAAAGAACAGCTGTGTCGAATGCTATTGTTAGATAGGTAGGAGAAGGACAGAGAATTAATTGGTCTTGGACTTAGCAACCTGCAGATAACTGGTACCGTTCACCCAAGCTGTTTCAGAACAATGGACAAAATGCTTGCTTAGAGTGTGTGCTAGTCTGAGTGGACTAGAGAAACATATCCTGGGAGACTCGTGTGTAAGAGAGTTTTCTATCAAAGAGTAATTGTATATTGAGAAAATATCCCAGCCCAGTCCACATCAAGTCCCTAAGTCCAATATTACCCCATATGTCCGAAACCAAACCATAAGTTCCTCTTCAGACTCACACAACACATGCAATGATGCCCAATGCAAGAAGATCATAGGCCAATGCGTGGAAAATCTTGTGGCTCCAGTGGCAGTGGAAGCATCTCCGTGCTGAGAGGGGTCTCCACATGGTTCCTCCAGCTCTGGGGCTCTAGCGTAGTTCCATGTGTCTTGTCAACAGGAATGTCTCACAGGGAGTGAGCGTGTGTCCCGCCTCCAGCAAGCTACTTATCCCCCTAGCGCCTCCAAGTCTCAAATTGACAATAGATTATGTATCTACCACAGAGTGGTTAAAAAAGAGGAACTTGGGAAATCAAGATAGAATTTCAAATTAGCTAAAATTTTAAAAATGAAAGAATATATGGAGTTGCCAGAAGCGGGAAATGGAGTTGAAAGAATTAACATGCCTGTTAACATTGAAAGCCAACAGAGGAAAGACTTGATAGTATAAGGCATTGAGAAGTGGTTTCTTTGTGGATGTGAGAGGGCTAGGATCACATGCACTAGTGGATTGCTGGTCTTTGCCAAGAATGAACATTCCATAGTATGGGGAGAAGGCCCAGGGCGTGGCCTAGAGGCGCAGGTGCGTAACAGTGGAAGAGATCTTTTATTTTCTTAGTCAGTAGGAAGCACGGTTATTGCTGATGGTGAATGAGAGGCGAGAGGAAGGGTTAGTGGTCTGAAGAGAGGAGGGGGAAGGAGAGAGACAAGACTGGGAAAATGCTGTGTAATTGCTGCACAGCCAGCCGCAAGGGCCCACTGGAGTCTAGCTGTGAGTCAGAGCCTGCTTTTCTCCAGCAGTTGGTAAGAGTCTTTAAGTGACTCTGAGTAGTGTTAATTAGCAGGTATGTAACAAGGCCAAATGATTAATCAACTTTGATCTCTAGAGTCTGAACTGGTATTAATAGTGCTTACTGCTACATCTTCCAATAATACTGTGATGAACATTTCACAGGTTGTATTCTGAGCAATTAACATAGTTATCCACTTGAAAAAGTGTGTTAGTCTAGCTTGACAACAGAAACAAATCCAGAGACACTCATATGTGTGTAAGAGAGAGTTTTATAACCAAGAGTAATTGTACATTGAGAAAACATCCCTTCCCAGTTCAGATCAAGTCCATAGGTCCGATATTAGCCCATATGTCCGATACTAGTCCATAAATTATCCTACAGACTCATGTAACACATGCAATGTGTCAAAAGTAGGAAGATCACAGGCCAGTGTTGAAAAGTCTTGTGGAAGCATCTCAGCATTGGCACGGCTCTCCACGTGGCTCCTCCAGCTCCAGGGCTCTGGCTGCCATCAGCATAGCTTCATGTGGCTTGTCAACAGAATGTGTAGCAGAGAGAGTGTGTCCCGCCTCCAGGGAGGAAGACAGGAGTTCCCAGAATCCTAAGGAGAAGGCCACGCCCACACAGGCATCAGTGGCTATGACCTGATTGACAGGCTAGACTCCACCCCTTCGCTCAAGTAGGCAGGAAATAATGTAACTGCTACGGAAAAGCATGCTGTTTTTGCTCTTGAAATTTTTTGTGTGAATTAGGTGAAGATTTATAGAGCAGATCATCAGTTTTCCATTCAACAGTTCATACACATTTTGTTTCAGCTCATCCTTTGCAATCTGCTCAGGGTGCCATCGCTTACCCTACTTCCCCCTTGTGCTTCCTGCTTCCTTTCCTAACCCTGTGCACTCTGCCTTTGGATAAATGCTGCCCTTTTGATCTGAAATGGTTGGTGGTTCTAACGCAGGAGTGAGTTCAGTTCCAGACCTGACAAGTGAAGAAGGGCCGGAGTCTGGGAGCCCACCAGTATTTAATTGTTCTGTGGTTGTCTCCCATTCTGCCCAAGACCACCTCATGTGATCCTTTCAGAGCAGTGGAAAGCGATACCAGATACCATCGAGTCTCTGGTCTGCGGGGGGTGGTGGTGGTGGGGGGGGAGACCGGTGTTGCACGTCCATTTCTCTGCTGCACTGATGTGTCCATGCGTCTTCAGTGTTCCCCCATCTATGGACTCTCGTTTTATGTTTTGGTGAAATTTTATTATGCACACTAAATGTCAAGTCTCAGAAGGTCCCATTTATCTACGCTGTCTTCTGTTGTTGGTATATTTTTCATTGTGTTTGATAGTGTATTTATGCTATGGAGAGCCCCAACTTTGTCACCGTCTTTTCCTTGGTGGTCTTTATGTTTATAGCATTGGGGTTTACATGTCTTGATCCATCCTCAGTTTATGGTGTGAGATATGGGTCCTGTTTTATTCTTTTGAAAATGGGTATCAGCTTTGTTAGCCCCATTTGTTCAAGAGACCATCTCTTCCCCACTTCATGTGTCCCAGCCCTTTGTCAGAGGTCGGCTGCCGATAGATGGATAGGTTTGACGTGCATTCTTGTCATTGAAACAGCATGTGATTTTTTGACTTTTTAAAGTCACATCCACCAAATGCCTCAGTGCTTTCCATGGCTGTTCATCTTACCCTGGTAGTGTCATAGACACAATTTTAACTTACTAGTTAGTAAGCCTAAAGATGGGTTTTCTTTAGAAATGGCAGTGGTAGAATTTGAACCCTGTCATATGTTTCTTATGAAAAATGGATGCTGAAGTCATACATTAAAAGTATGCTGCATACTAGTAGAAGAAGAACACGTGATTGGAGGGTGTGTAGTGGAACACAAATGAACTACTGTCATCAGAATGCCTTTGTCCCAAGTACTAATTTATATCTGTTCAAAATAAGATAACGTGCTATTTGAGTGTCTTCTCCAAGTAGCCAGTTCCTGTAAATTTTGTAAAGGCCTGCAGCTGTGTAAGAATCAGTGTGAACCAGCTCCTTACTTCAGTATTGTGTGTAACACATACTCGGGCTTACTTCAGTATTGTGTGTAACACATACTCGGGATTACTTCAGTATTGTGTGTAACACATACTCGGGATTAGTCACTGGTAATTGAGAAGGAATCTGTACTGCTTGACTTACAGCGGAGCTTTCCAATATCTGAAATAGAGTGGACAATGATTTTAAAGTAAAATGTTAGTGGGCTATAGCTTCTCCTCTATGACATCCTGTATTAATGATCTTTCTCTGCTGTAGTCTCCCACGCTCTTTCACACATTCTCACTCGGTCTTCCATTTCCTCCCCAACTCTACCTTCCTCCACTCTCTCGTGCACTCCTCTGTCGCACATGCGACAGAAGGCGCTGTGCCTTCTTCCCCCGTGCAGTCATCGTCACAGTAGCTGGGCTCCTGCAGCTGTCAGCTGGGTGTTCCCATCAAGAAGACAAGGACCAAGACCAGTCAGGAGGAACTTCTGGGTTACTGAGCCAGTAGGCACTCCCCACTATAATGCGGCCACCACCACCACCGTGACTCACTCACTCACTCACACACACACACACACACACACACACACACACACTGACCCACCCACCAGTAGAGGGCCTTGGGGTGCTCAAACTTTGGCAGTTCATTTCCCGTGCCCTCAGTTGTTCAGCTTAAGCCCTTGACTCCAGTTAAATATTTTACCCATTACCTTTTAAAACATTACAGCAATTGGAGATTACTTTTAGTTTCATTTCTGTCTGTGTAACTAAAGAACATATTGATTTTTAAAGTGAGATATTGACTTGTTTTAACTTTGCTTTGTTAAACACACAAAATAATAGTGAGTTATTTGGGATACAAAATATGCATACTATTAAATGAAAGTGCAGTAGTCTCTAAATGTTTTGCTGTTTTATTACTTGTTCAAGACAGTGGCTCCATTTTTATGATGTAGGAACAAATGGGATTTCAGGAAAGTACCCTAGTAATTTAAGGTTTCTAGAAACTATAAGGTATGTTTATGCACTTACAATTGATGTAGTTACAGACAGAAACAATGATTTTGGTCTGTAGAACCTTAAAGAGATCTGCATGTTTAAGGTTTGAAGACCCTCACCGCCGCCACCAAAAAAAGAAAAAAAGCACTGACATATAAATCCCCTGGCACGGTGTAAGTGTAACTCAAAAACCCACATGCAGTGTAGGTGGAAATATTTTCTGTTTCATTTTGTAATTGAACATTAGATTCTCTCCTGAGGTTTTTTTTTCTTTCTGTTTTTAATAAAAGAAGTTCTCTAACTAATCTGATTTATAGCCAAAGCACACATTAAATAAAAGACTTCCCAGACCAGAAATAGGGAACAAAAGCCAGAGAACATTAAAATGCCCCTGAATCAAACTCAGCCTGAAATCATTTGAATCTCACCATTCACCTACTTGCTTTTGTGAGCAGGTAGCACGTTTTTCTTAAGCCATCTTTTCAACCAGCAGAAGCAACAGCCCTAAGGAGCCCAGGGAAGAGCCGACAGGTGCTCGCTCCTGTCATCAGAACACTGGCCTGCCCTGAGATCATAGGAGAGAGTAGAGAAACCGAGAGCCAGATCTCAACACTGCTCAGTAGAGGGTCTGATTTTGGACGGTGGACTCTGTACATTTCCTGGTCAGGGTCTTCATGCCTGCCGCCCTCTGACACGTAAGCCTTGCTTCCTCAGCGTGACACGTACGTTCCTTGAGAGCGGGATAAAGACATTAAAAATAACTTCAATACAAAATTTATGGTGATTTATTACGCTTTTGTTATGTAGAAAATCTACGTCTTTAAGACTACAAAGAGGTTTATGTGTTTAAATAAGGTGGACGCAAAAGCTCTTCATTTTCATTTTGATCCATGCATAGAATAATGCAGTTTCTAAAGATATCAGTGTTACCATATATACTTGAGTATAAGTCAAGTTTTCCATCACATTTTTAATGCAGTTTTTGTAGTAAAATTAGGTGCCTCGGCTGATATTCGGGTCGGCTTATACTCAAGTATATACAGTAATTTTTTCATTACTTTGGAATGTTCATTATTTTATCTTCATCTTAAATAGGAAGTTGTTACATAGTTAGTTGAATAGGCTTCTATGTCCCCTAGATAAAGTTTATTTTGTCGCTTCCATTTTATGTACCATAAGTTTCTGTTTTGTAAAAAGATCTATTTTTTCATGTGTTCCGTTGTGCTTATTTCTAAAACTTAATAGTTTGCATTTTTCACCTCAGCAGTTAAAGACGTGTGGCCATATTTGTAATATTCAACTCAATTTCATAGAAAAAATGTTATGTATTTTATTGTTAAAAGAGGAAACATTTTAAGAATCTGAATAAAGGTTATGAGAATATCGCTAGTCATTATAGCCTATTGATACTTAATGTCCTTTGTACAAAGCACAGTGCCTATTGGAGACTCAAACTATCTGGATTGGATGAAATCTAGTCTTCAAGGCATTTCTCATTGCCTGCTTATCATCTCACAGAGTCTTACTAGTGCGCTGTTTTTATGTTCTAGGCAACGAATGGCTTTGTGAAGGACAGCCGTCATCTGGTGACATTGAGAGCATTTGCAGTCCACCCGCAATATCCCTGCGGGTTCCTGGCGATTGCTTATCCCTGGAAGCCGTCGTGTCCATCAGCGTGTTCCTGTATTACTGCAGCGCAGACAGCAGTGCCTGCATGATGAAGGGCGTTCTGTTCAGCCAGCCTTTACAGATCACTGAGACCCAGCACAAAGCTTGCCCGGCTCCACTTGAGCTCAGATACGTGTTTTAGCAAGCCGCGCATCCACCGCTGCCGTCCCTCGTCCTCACGGTCCCTGGGACTTAGGACAAGCTTGCTTTCTGCTTCTGTGATACCAAGAAACCCATTTCTGAGTTCCAGCAGCGAATAGTCAAGTAAAACCCTGCTCCTTTTTCACTTATTTATTACCAGAAAATTCCTTCATTCTGGCTGTGGACCAGCCAAGTCTTGATCTTCATTTGGACCACAATTTTGTAATCTCGGCTTCTATTTGGCACAAGTATCGTATAAAGTATTAACCTAAGATCATTTGCAGTGAATACTGATATTGATACCAAATATTTTAACTTGACTTTTTGTACCTTTATTAAGAACTATCAGTGCATTTGGGTGTCTAAATTTCACAAGCTGTAAACAGAGCCTAGGATCTGGGCCATTGTTATTGAAGGGCAACTGCCATTTGAGGCTTGAGGTCTGTTTTAAGCCACCGTGTGTGTGTGTGTGTGTGTGTGTGTGTGTGTGTGTGTGTGTGTGTG